ACTTCCTGAAAAACTACTTGGCATTCTGTTGAATCTACCTCAACTTTTTACACCTGTAAATTAGACGGGGAATAGGAGCAGACACCATTTTTTGCGACAGGTTGAACTGTTGAAGTCATGTTACCATTATCAAGCAACATGTACATGGGATAGCCACGTCACCTAGGAAGAGTCAGCTTCTTAATCCATTATTGCTTTTGCTTTTCTAGCATCCCTCATTCCTTGAGGATGACTGTTTGAGGATCGAGAAAGGAAAGAAGAAATAGACAGCTCTGCGATAGAGCTGCGTATGATGGAAGTTTGGTGGTTTTAGGGATGCTAAGGCATTATAGTTAGAAGTAGTATGCTTAGGCTTCAAAGCAAGTTCTCCTATGTTGAGAATGATAAAGAAATTAGACCTGAAACTTGATTTAGGAGGTAGCAATTAGAGAAACAGGAGGATTAAGGGAATAAGAAAGAAGAAGAAATATCTCCACGAACTTCATCAAGAAATTATTGGAAGCTCAAGCAACTGCTTCATGTATACTGAAGCTTAGAAATACCAACCTTACATAACTAACTGTCTTATATTCTTGCAATGTGTCTTTACACGAGCGGCAGTCCAAGTTGTAATTTCCACTTATTATAGCTCTTCCGTTCCACGTCCTCCAAGCAAGGTGGTGGTGAGTTCCTATCCACCTCCTCAAATATATAGAAGTGACATTGCTTGACATGTTTTCTACCTACTATCATTTGGTGAGATAACTATTACTAACAAACTTCACCGTTGCATACTCACAAATTATGGATCAGTTGAATAGACTACTTGAGCACCTCAATTAACAGCTTCACTCCCTGTGTAAGAACAGCTGCAAGCTGAAAATGTACAAGTGCTCAAGTACATTCTAAGGGGTTGGATTAAAGGCTTCTGTGGTATAATGTTTTGAGACCAGTAACCTCAAAATGCCAAAAAAGGAGGTCGACTTCCTTATTTTGCTTGAGTCTGAATGTTGGCTCATAAAAGAAAATGTGAAGACAGCAAGTCTTTTCAATTGAATAATTCAACCCCTTTGATAAACTATTCAACGTTATCAGGTTCAAGATCTTACTTTATATCATGTTGATTCAGATGAATACTTTGCAGCAAGCCCACAGTTTGCTAGTTATTGGCCTCTCTCCTAAAGAAAAATTATCATCTGAAAAAGGCACTAATTTATGTCTATGGCATGCCAGCACAATTCTCAGCAATACTGCCAACTTAGATATTGAGCTTCAAGTCCACTTATGGAGACAGGAAACCAAAACACCCGAACTCTTACAGTTATGATAAGTTCGTATAACGTGTTCTCCATCGGATCCAAAGCTCTTGATGCATGGTGGTCCTGTCCAGTCTATCACCTCAATTAGCATTTATTCTGATGAATCATATCAGTATTATTGATTATCAGGGGACAAATCTCTTTTCCAATGGATCGTTTTTTAACACATTCCCAAAAGTGTGAATTGCTTTTAAGACACCATGGGAGTAACTGCTTGAGTTTGTTCAGATTGATAATACTCCATTGAAGTCACTGCTTATCTTTCGTCAGATTGATGAATGAAGTAAACCTCCTATGTTCTCACAAAAATGCCTTCTATAATCGTGAAATTTCTCTGACAATGGTTTTCAAAGGGCTGGAGTATTCAACGTAAATAGGTATGACCTCGGCATAGAGCTAGCCTCTAGATTTTAGAATTACCCATTACAATAATTGCCTCTAAATCTGTAGTAAGAAACACTGATTAACAATTTGGTGTTTGCTAAAGGGATAACATTATCAGGGATAGGTAAGGTGGCAATGGACTAAAAAGAGTGTTTCTTTCCTAATAATTCCTATAAACACGATCCATTTGCATAGTTTTTTTTCCAGTAACATGTATACATGTCATGCATCAATGTCTGTGACAATATCAACTTTGGCACCGTTTTTTTATAAGGTAAGTAACCTCCCTAATGTTAAAGCACCAAGTGGGTGCTCAAACAACTGTACAAAGCTCTGAATACTGCCTGTTATATTTGCATAGAATCCAGCAGCTCCAGAATACAATCAAAATCATATACATCTTTCATAAAATACCATGATTTAAGCGAGTCTAAGCATCCATATTTTAAGCAATATCTGCTTTTTTCCACCATAACTTATGTGGTTCTTATCAGCCTGGCACCATTATACTGCTGGCTAGATATTTCTAGAACTTTGGTCTATTAAGTTCGTATCTGTCCATAGTTTCAAAACTACTCTAAAAGTTCCAAATTGGAAAAATATATATTATGTCTTCACTATTCTGTTGATGCATCCTCTGTTTTGGGTATCCTCATTGCCTATTTTAATCTGATTACTAGTAACGATTTAAGGATGTCCTGATCAATCGTAGACATGAGTTCAGGGTACCTCAGAATCTTTCTTTAGTAGGCATATTTAATAACTTCTTGGTGGCTTAATATTAGCTAAACATGCATACTGACTAACCCGTTGACACAGTCATCTACTATGTTGCTGCCTATCATATATTTTCTATATAAAGATGTTAGTAAGACAAGGCACTTATATGTCGATTAGCCGTAGTAAAACTCAGTATTAGCTCATGAAACATTAGCCCTAAATGTCGGAGGCACGTAAACTTGAAAGAGTTTGAGAGGTTCTCTTACTGCTGAAGAGATTCTGGGTGAGGAGACTCTAGCAAAAGCCTGTAGAGATGCACACATACACACACATCAGCCCAAAGCAGTAGATTGAGATACCAGTCTTTCCTTCTCATAGCGAGACGTATGATTCCCAGTTTTACTTGTTTTGAACAGTTCTCACTGCAGTTTGGCTTTTGTGCCAAATCTGGCTGGAGCTCCGCCGATTTTTGAATGAGTTGGTTCAACTGATTAGCTGGTCCAGATAAGAAGACACTAAGCAGCAGTAGCACGAGAGCTGGATCGAAAGAGCTCGTGTGATGGAAAAAAGAACCAAAATTGCAATTAGAGTGTGTTATCGGGAGAAAACAGCACACATAAATAATATTCGTGGTAAAGAGAAGCGGGTTCTTTCTTTGAGCGTATAGTGGTCTTTTGAGTAGTTTACTCAAGACTACCAAGTTTAATATTCGTAACTATAGTGATATTGTGTTGCTCATTCCAAGCCACGGTTCTTCCTTTATTGAGAAGGCTTTTGCATGTTAAAAGTTCTGGTATCCTTGTTTCCCTTTTTTATTCGTGTTAATTTCCGTATCTTGGTGTCCGTCGTTATTCCTTCTGTTTACCTTGAATGTTATTTTTTTGTGTGCAATTTATCCAACAAATGATGCTCAAAATCATTTAAATCTGACTGCATAGAGAGGGAAGGAGGGAGAGAGGGAGGGAGAGAGCTCTCTCCCCATTTAGTTGCCCCTGATTCTGACTATCTTTTATATTTTGGCAAAAGTATACTATAGTTAGGTTTATGCACTTCAGAATTATTCAGAATTATATAGGGTGGAGGTATTTTCCCGACATCCATCTGCACCTTTGGTTGGGCATTAAGTACTTGCTTCATAACACGATATGAGTGAGCAGAATGCCAGAAGAAGATAAAGAGAATAATATCTTTCGGATATTCATTTGCAAGGTCCAGTGTACTTCAAATATGGCCTTCTGCATCTATTAGTTTTTTTTTATCATAATAGCAGCTCCTGTACTCCATAAGTTATAAAAACTGTTTGTTAAGTAATGTTACACAGTTGAACTTAGGATACCTTGTGTTCTTAAGAATTTAGGTCATGAATCTTACCTTTTTCTTTTCCGATATGTACTCGGATCACTAGCAATGAATACTCAACTGGTCAGCCAACATAGAAAACTCTTGCTCTTTGTTTTTACTTTTCTTTTAGTGATGTTCATCGTTGTTTTGCAAACCTTACCAGAGCAATCTCGTAGGAAATTATTCTTTCCATTTGTGAACTTAGATCTTAGTAAATGGTTACTTGGACACATTTGGTAATTCTTTTAGCAGAAAGTTATGACAGGAAATTAATTTTCTTTTGTAGGTGATAAGTTCTCAACTGATTGGGACAAGGCCTGGTCAAGCTTCAGGAAGCAAAGCAAAAAGAACTTCTTCTCGCAATTCTCTCCAAACAAGTACGTAACATGGAATCCTAAGCGTTCCGAATATCCTCTGTCCGAAGAAGTTGACCCTATTAAAAGAGCAGAGAAGTCAAACCTTATGCTATGGACAAGTCCACAGTTCACTCTTGTTGGAGCAATTATTATAGTTACATTTCTTTTGGTCTATTCCATTCTTGCTATAACAAAATGAGCTTTCAGAATGTGTCTGTTCATGCCCTCTTGTAAAGATTGCTCATTGTTAAAGTTTAGACCAATGCAGATCTACATCTGTAGATGAAAAGATTGAAATGTATTTTAGTCTAATCCTTTCTAATTGTATAAAGTATGTAAAGTTGTATCATGAAGAAAATGTTAGTCTGCTTGTTATACCAAAGGGCAGCCCGACGCATGACACATCCCGCTTTCACTTAGGGTCCGGGGAAGGGCTGCACAACAAGGGATGTGATGTAGGCAGTCTATCCTGATACAAACATTAGTGGTTGATTTGCTCAAGTGATCTATAGATCACACGGAGATAACTTTACCCTTGCCTCAAGGCTGTGAATAATATCTGGTTTAACAGGAACACATGCTGGTTGCTAAAAGAGAAAAATATATAGGAATACCTGCCGCCAAATTCTTTGTTTACTTTTCCTAGCTAGTATACATAGATTAAACTTTGATTATATACGATTATATACATATTATACATGGATTATACTCCCGAGGCCTTCTAAGCATTCAAAATCTCACTCTTAGACAGAATGTCATATATGTAAACATATTAACATTAGTGTTTCTGATTTATTTGATTGGTATTATTAAATTGTTACTCATTATCATAGATTCTGGTCTTCCTCTCTTGCTTCCTTGATGTTGTTTGCTGAAAAGAACTTTCCACCCTTCTCTACCTCTAAATTTTGGAAATTGTGTTTCAGGTCCTTTTTCAAGCGCGGGAATCCCAAAACAGCAGGATTAGTTGATCCTCGTGACAATAAAATAAATAAATAGGTTGAGATGTTTAAGATCATTTACGTCACAAGGAGGTCCACATCATCTTTCATTCGAGAACTGGGAAAGAAAAATCAAAGGATACTTTGAGTTATACGCAAACATTTATTTTATTTTAACAAGGAACTTATCTACTCCATCCGACTAGTTTCGAGTCTAATCTTGAGCTATTTGACTATCGTAACACCCTCTTTTAACAAATGATTTGATTCAAGCTACTCCACCACTAAAACAATATCAACCCTGGCCCTTTGGTTGGTGCAATAAGGCAATAGTGGTAGCACTGTAGAGATTTTAATCTGTCATTAATCTAAAAGAGAAACTTCCCATAATTACATAAAATTAGATGCATGAAATGTACCTCTTTGTCAGCCTTGCCTTATTAGGTACTTTAAGATGTCCTTTACAATCTTGTACTACTTTTTTCATATCCCATAGAAGAATAGAAGACAGTAATTTGGCATGTCTGCTTCTCACCTCAAGCAGAGCTTTCATTGTTCTCACAAAGGGAAACATATAGTTTTTTAATGGAAGACAAGGAATTTGGAAAATCATATTTTCCTCTTTGGACTAATTGACTTGTTTTAGTTCTATACACTAGTTGACGTAGATTAAATTTATCCAATTAGATCACCTATAAGGTAAAAAATGTCAGTGCGGTGCACGAAGTATCCCGCATTCATGTATGGTTCAGGGAAGTGCCGCATCCCAAGAGGTGTGATGTAGACAGTCTACCCTGATGCAAACATCAATAATTGATTCCACGACTCGAACTCGTAACCTATAAATCACTTATAATGTAATTACAATTAGGTCTGATAAGTGAGCTTATGGTTTTTCTACTCTAGGTTTAATAAAAGTATTTATCATTGTACTTTCTATCTTTATTTGTCTGTTTAACAGTTGCATTTAATTTCCCAGCATCTTGAAATTATTGAAGTCAAGAGGGTCAAGTTCAAAGTCCTCCCCGTGTGCATATGTCGTGTCAATTATTGATCTGAAAAAAAAAAATCATCGTTTCTTTCGTTATAAATTAAGTTAATTTTATGCTATGGTTTATTTCTATATATATCTTCTGGTTCTAAAGCTGTGAAAATAAGCAGACCTCAAATTTAGAGAACAAGATATAGCTTTAAAATATATCTTTTCCTTGTTCAACCAATCATTCATACTAAACCTGAAAAAACATCATAGAAATCATTATTTTCCATGTTTTCAACCAACATTCTTCAGTTGTAACCTGGTGTAAAACTTTTACGACATTTGTTGATTCATCCCATTTTAACCAGCCCAAGTTCATCTCAAACCGCTCATTTAGGATTTTATGGTCTCGGGCATTTTTCTATGAAATATCGATTCTATCAATCATTCCATTTCAGAATCAAGTCTCCCGAATAAGTAAGGCCCCGTGACTCCCCAAACCAGCTCCAGCTAGCCTTACCCGGCGGAACCGGCCAGGAATATTCAACATGGGCAGAGAAAGCATCTGAAGGGTTACTTCATCTTTGGTGATCACACACCGATCCGAGCAATCACTAGTCCTATCAAAACCTTGTTACACAAGAAAGTACTGAACTTTTTGTGTTAGCCTATATTGTGGCCTGAGATCTTCTCATTTGCTTGCACATTAGTTATCAACATTAATTTTACGAGATGAAGGACAGTTTGGTAAGAGTGCCCATTGGATCAGCTGCTGAACAAGAAAAGAAAAAGGAAGTACAACTTCCTCCAAAGAGAGGGCAAATTAAAGTTCAAATAGCTAAGTGTCTGGTGAAGTTTATACGGAGAATACGTCGTCGCTAAGATAATTTAAATCTTGTTTCTTCTGGTAGGCTTATATTAGTCTGTGTTTTATTACAGGTAGTTATTCGCTCGTCCCTTAAATCATCTCAATAGTACATTGTTGGTTATATGTCTGAGTTTAGTATTGTTGAAGTGTGATCATTTCATTTGAAAGTTTAAATTATCTTTTTTATAATTAATTATGCTCGTGTGGTAGCAGTAAGAAACAGAATGTTAAAACAAAAGGGAGGTTGTGCTTCATCACATCCCTCCATGTTAAAGAATGAACATGCCCATTCATATGACCAAAAAAAAACATGTTAGCTCTTCACAAAAATATACTCCTTCCCCTATTACTTATAATTAGTGCTGGCAAAATGGTTAAAAGAAAATAATTATTTACTCATATTATTCACTAAAAAATGGGTTGGATGATGAACTTTTTAAAAACATGTCACATATGAATAAGAACCATATTATCCATTTAGAAAAATAGATAACTAATGAGTTTAACTTTTACATTTGTAAAACTTCAAATTGGGGATTCTCCCAAAAGTGATCATATTCAAAAAGTCATGGAACTTCATTCAAAAATTAAACTTGAATTTTTATAGAATCAAATTCTAAAATCATTTCTATTTTGATCATTTCTTAGATTCTGTCATAATTGTATCAAATCCATTTTCTATTTTAAAGCGAACATTTAGCTTATCATAAAACTTTTTCTTTTTACTTTAATTTAAGTTTAGCACATTAGTTTCATAATATGAATATTCATGTTATCCGCCGGTTAACCCGTTTATCCGTATTAAATATAAGTTGGTTCGGATAATTTATTCGATTTTGCATTATCCGTTTTCGACCCGATCTATATCCGACTCGACCCGCCCGTTTGTCATTCCTACTTATAACCTCTTATTTAACATCAGTTTACGTGCGGGTTTGATTTCTTTTATAAGTCAAATATATATACTCCCTTCGTTTCAATTTATTTCATTTTTAATCCGTACCAAAAAGAATGACCACTTTCTTTATTTGAAAATAATTTACCTTTATGCAATGATTTATAGCCACACAAAATATATGTGCCAAATTTTACATCACAAGTTCAAAAGTCTTCTCTTTTTTTTTTTTTAAATTTTATATCTAATCAAATAAATTCATATAAATTGAAACGAAAAAAAAGTATAATAGAAATCAGAACATGTATATGCTCTAATACCATATTAAATAATATAACCAACTCATATAAGAGCAACTCATGTATAAGAGCAAGTAAGGACCTTTTTTAAGTCGAGTGAAATGACCAATTCGAGATAGCTTTTAGGGAATTTCAGCTTTCCATTTGACGACAAAATTATGAGAAAGAGAAAACAAGAATAGTGTATGTTATGTCTCCACTATGCTGGGACCACTATTTCAAAAGCTTATAATATGCCACTTGTAAATCATAACAACCAATAAAAACATAATAGTAAGATATTTCATTTTAAAATTTCATTGATTAAACTTGTGTCTGATATAAATGTTACTATTAATATTCTTCGATGGTATAAATAGTAGTGGCAAAATTCCTCAAAGAACAAACATTTCTTTGAATCTTTAATGGTTCTATTGTTAGACAAATACATATACACCCCAATCAACTTGACTCCGTTTTTCATTTTGGCACTCAATCTCAACCTTATTTCATTTTGGCCCTCCAACTCTATTTTTTATATTTTATTTTAACACAAAAGCTGAAACTAGTGCAAAAAATTATAGCGTGTATGTATACACAAATATGAGGTGTAATAAATATTCAATTAAATGTTACCACCTGATTTTTTCATCCTTTATTTCATATAAGCTTGAAGTTTGAAGTGAATCCATGTCTCAAAGAAAATTATTTTTTCATAATGGAATGGATATTTGTTCTTGTGGATTTCAAGTTGAACTGAAAGTATCATGGACACTAAGAAATTCGGGTCAGGTATTTTAGTATTGACCCGTTTGACAAGGATGAGCAACATTTAATTAGATATTTATTACACTTCAGATTTGTGTATACACACGCGCTATATTTTTTTGCACTGGTTTCAGCTTTTGTGTTAAAATGAAACATAAGAAATAGAGTTGGATGACCAAAATGGAACAAGGTTGAGATATAGTGCCAAAATAAAAAAATGGGACCAAGTTGAATGGGATGTATATGTATTTGGCCTTAGATCTAATTAAACATACCTTTGTTTCCAGCTTATCAAATACAGTCACATCTTTCTATAACAATCTTATTTGTTCTTATATTTTTTGACTATTATAGTGAAGTGATGTTATAAAAGACATATATTATAACATAATATAAAAATTAATTCCGATAAAAACTTGGCTTTTATAGTGAATGATTGTTATATATGAACGTTGTTATAAAGAAGTCTAACTCTGTTTACCCTCAAAATCGGAAAATAATTGAATTTATACGTTGTTTTAAGAATACGTGATATAATTTAATACAAAGTGAGAAATCAAATTTAATATGAAAAAATAAATAGAAACATAAATGCAAACCACCAGATTGAACAACTTAAACCTTGCGAAATTAACTTTCTTCGAATTTAGGAATGATATTATTG